GTATGTATGTATGTATGTATGTATGTATGTATGTATGTATGTATGTATGTATGTATGTATGTACGTTCGCACGCAGGGAGGTAGGTAGATAGGTAGGTAGGTAGGTAGGTAGGTAGGTAGGTAGGTAGATAGGTAGTTAGGTAGGTAGGTAGGTAGGTAGGTAGGTAGGGAGGTAGGTAGGTAGGTAGGGAGGTAGGTAGATAGGTAGGTAGGGAGCTAGGTAGATAGGTAGGTAGGTAGATTGATAGACAGGTGGATAGATAGATATGTATGTATGTATAGATATGTGTATACCATATTATGTCACACTGTATGGTATTCTGTTGCATTACACTATCTGACATTAAATCACATTAGATTGCACTACACTACATTATACTGTAGTCTAGTATATTATTCTTATGCGATATCATATTGTTCATGGTCTGTTACATCACACAATATATCATATTACAGCATGTTATACCATGAGAAACATAGAAAGTCATATTAAATCATATTATCTTACCTTGTCTTATATCATATTAAAATTTAGGATATTGTATGTGTATATATACTTACACATGCATATATTCTGTACTACCTTATGCATATATATATATACACACCAAATAGATCATCCTCATGATGAGCATCTCACTTGCGTTTAATGTGATTCGAATCTCTCCCGGCTGGATGCGGCGAGGCGGCGGAGCGGGTGGAGGCCAGGAGGGGATCTCTGGGCGTGCAAAGTGTAGATCTTCCTGGTCGAGTTTGGGTGTCCTATAGAGGCCTGAATATCTAAAACTGGGCTCTGAGGTGTAGTGAGATGATTATATACGGGGGACTATAAGGGGATATGATGACCAATTATTCAGAGGTCTATGGGCCCCAAGTTTCGACTTTGGGGAATTCGGAGTCAAGGTGAAGGTCCTCTGAGCCCAGACACGGGGTAAATGGTTTAGTTAGGGTTTGGGCTTTGCATTTAAGGAGTGTAGGAAGGGTTGCTAGCAACAACTGCTGAGGCCTAAATAATCTCATCGAATTCGGCCCCACGCACAAGCATCCAAACACGCACATACTGCGACACTGAGGGTTAACCTCCAATCCAGATGTACATTTCTGCAGTAGGAAGCTTTCTTGAACGGTTCACACGTGCTTTCGACCAGCAGCAACCCTTCCTTGCCTCTCTCCAGACCAATGCATCCGGCGAAGAGTCCTTGGCACGGGCTTCTCTTAGTGCAAAGTTTCCCTTTCATGCTTTACCTCTCGACCAGCCTCTGCTTTTGTCCGAAGCTCTGAGCCCGAAACCACTCGCACCGAAGGCGTTGAACCATTTTGCCCTCACCCTTGCATTGAGCCACCCGGCCTGGTCTAAAGACGCCTCAGCCGCAGCCATGTAGCCGGCTTTCTCTTGGGCTTCCCCGAAAGAAAAGCCTGGCAGCTTTTGCTCTTGCTTCTCTTGCTTCCAGATTTCCCGTAGTTGTAGTCAGTTGGCTTCACACAGAAGCCGCTACCTTCATGGCACCAGCAGCAGAGCGCCGGCACCAGCACAAGCTGCAGCACCAGTATCCAAAATTAGCACCAGCACCAGCAACCAGCACAAGTGCCAACCAGCACCAGCGCCACCACCGACAAGAAGAAGAACAGCCGCAGCAAGATCACAACAGCAACGACTGCTGCTGCTGCTGCAGCTGCTGCTGCTGCTGCTGCTGCTGCTGCTGCTGCTGCTGCTGCTGCTGCTGCGACTGCCACAGCCACTGTCACTACAACTACCACTACCACTGTCGCTATCGCTACCCTGCCACTGTCACTACCACTACCAATACCACCACGACGACGAAAACTAGCGAGGTTCCGGGGATGGTTGTCCGCATGCCTCTGCTTGCAGCCTGGCCGCAGGAGATTGCATCCGGTTCCGGCGAGAAGCTGGGCGTTAAGCTTGGCGACTTGCAGGGGTCAGCATCGTCCAAGTCAGCATCGCTTGGCATCGTGTCCAAATCTCCCTGGCCGACTTAGGGTTGCGAGGCGAGTGGTTGCGGCAGCGCCCACTTGAGGCTGCAAGATGGGCAGCCCTCCGATCTTCCCTTCTGCACCACTGTCTTCCAACATCCCGGTCCCCAAACCGACATGCAGACAGCCCAAGAGCTCCCAAGGCCTGGTGGCTCTCATGGTCTTCTTGAGCATCCGGCCCAGGAAAGGGTCTAAAGAACGGCGAGGCTGCTCCGTTCACCTGCGGGGCGACGGTTCAGGTACTGGGAGCATTGGCTTTAAGCGGATGATCTTCATCGTTCTGGCTCCGCCGAGCCATTGCTTGTAATTCGGTGGAACTGAGGCCTTAGGCTGCTGAAGGCTAAGATGGAGGTGATGATGATGACGCAGTGGTGTTGACTATCAGGGTGATGGTGACAGTGGCGATGAAGACGAAGGCGCAGGTGCTGCAGCTGCTGCTCATTGATGACAGCAACTGTCATGGCAATGGTGAAGGTGATGGTGACGATGACGAAGTAAATGCTGGTGATGACGACGATGACAAGACAACGCCATCGATGCTGACCGTGATGGCAGGAATGATTATGATGATGATGATGATGATGATAATAAGGAGGAGGAGGAAGAGGATGCCCCACACTCCAAACCGAACCTTCACAGCCGAAAATGCCGAAACACTGAAGCCACACTGTTTTTGGGTTCCAGGCCGACACCGAGGCCGGCGTTAGCTGCTGCGAGCCTGAATCAGTTTGGATTTCGGACATTGGGCCTGATCGATGTCCCTTGTCTGGGTTCTGTTTTTCGCAGAACAGTTCTTTTCAGGGGTACTTTCGCCCTTGCCACATATTGCGGGGTTTAGTATTTAAGACTTAAAGCTCAGGAATCTGGACTCAAAGCTCAGACTTTGTCGTCGACCTAGGGGTTATAGGGTGTAGCGTTTAGAATCAAGGGTCCGGGGTTTAAGTTTTAGGACGTAATTAGGATTTAAGCTGTCGGGCCTTGCGGGTCAGTCTGTGCTACTGGATTCTTACTCTGAATACTGCTCCAGCTGTTGACATGACTACCGCTCTCTCTAAGCTTTGGCAACTGCTGCAGCCATCGCGATCGCCATCATGATTCTCGACGTTGGGTTCATTGTCGTGATGATGCCAGTACAAGTCAAGATAACGACAGCATTGCTGAGAGCAACAAAACACCCTAATGCACACACAACAGTAAGGCGAACAGCAATAATTGAGACATGCCGAGAAGTATACGAACAAGAACTCGATACTGTACCCCGGCTATACCATCCTACACCTTCAAAAGCTCATTAATTCGTAGATAGTCTCACGTGACTTGGTATTTCAGTCTCGGTCGGGGCTGAGGTGACATGCATCAAAGATGTTGCTGACTTTTCCGACTGTTCTCTTACCTCTCATCGCTGCTTCTTCAAAATGGCGCCTGCGTGACCACAGCGGGTTCCGGGGTCGTCTTCCTCCTTTTCAGGAGCACGGACCACCGTCACCTCAACCTCGAGGCGAATGGCATTTGCGACATCAGTGAGTTAATCAAGCTGGAATACCATTTGATGCAATACAGAAGAGTAGCACAGAATCGCATAGAACAGAATGGGACAGAATTGACCAACATAGCATAACACAACATAACATAACATAACATAACATAACATAACATAACATAACATAACATAACATAACATAACATAACATAACATGACATGGCGTAGCATGAAATAATGTAACGCAAAATGCCGTAGTCTACCATGTAGCAATATATGATATACCAAAGTGTAATACAACGTAGCACAACACAATGTACTGTAATGCGATCGAACATACAAGACAAAATGTAACATTATGCAGTGTCATATATTATGATAAAAACATGATATGATATAACATGATGTGCGATGAGCTAATACGTGAAAATATCAGGAAACCTATCAAACAATATAACGAAATATAGTATAGAATACGAGTGGCGTAAGGAAATAAATGAACATGCGATGGCATGTTGCAAGATAACACAATACACGATGATATTGTAAAATACTGAAACAACCAAGAACACATGTACAACAAAATGGTATGGCATGGTATAGATAGTACAATCCAATCAGAAAAGCATAGTAAAACGTCAAGCTAAAGCAATATTTTGACGATATGCCAAAACAGAAAAACAACCTGATGCCGTACAATACAAAATAACACAATATAACACTGCAGTAGGGCGTAATGGACTATACCAGAATACAACAGAATACAGCAGAACATGATGCAATATGATAGAACAGCAGAGATTAGAATATCACAGCATGGGCTAGAAACAGATAGAACAGACTATAACATAATATGACAAAACATGATACAGCATAACATGGCATGACATGACATAGCACAACAAACTAACCTGATATAGCACAACATGGTAAACATAAGGGGTACCATAACATAGCATAGCGCAACATACATCAAATAATGCATTATCATGATATGGCAGGGCATGTTACGACTCAGCATACTACAGCAAAGTATCATATTGAACGGAGTTGGATGGGATAGGCAAAGATCATAGAATGGCATAGAATAGCATGGAATAGCATAGCATGGCATAGCGTCGAATAGACTAGAATCGAATCCGAGAGAGCCAAATGGACCACAACATGGTCAGAAGAGAAGAGAATACAGTACAATAGAAGGCCATGCAGCATAACGTTTTATGGTCAAGGAGAGTTTAGCAAAAACAACCATCACATGAGATCCGGCATGTGATCCTTAAAGCCTCGCGAGCCATATGCTTGCCTGCCTCGACAGGCCTGAACAACGAGAACAGGGTTTGGAGATTTATTACATGCTAGTACCTACAGAATAGTATTGGTTACTAATCATTTAAGCTTCTAGTTAAGTGTTAACATCCCACAGCGATGCAGTCCCCAACAGAAGCTGGACTTTGCAGTTGCGTCGCTGGTGCAGCTTGCGACAACTCGTCTGGCCCACTTCCTGGCAACTGGCAATACTCAAAGCTGACCGAAATCATCGTAGAAGGCTGAGACGCAGATCGCACGTCTTTTTAAAGCCTTGGGGGATCGGCGACCTTCGGATTTGGGTACGGACGAAGAGTTCCATGCAGCTTCGGACGGAGGTTCGTGCACACCTGCGACGTGCTCAGCGAGGGTAGGACCTTCTATTCGGTGAGGTGTACACCCAGAACTCTGACAACTTAGATTCTCTCTTCGTCATGGTGCCTGTGCACGCGAAAGAACATGATATGCAGCATAAGGCTACTGCCTGATTGCTTTACGTACTGTTTTAGGTCACAACTACCCCCGTCCGGGTCATGATCTCATTGCTTACAAAGGCATAATGCAAACCATCGCAATAGGCTCTCCTTCCGTTTCGCCGTCGTCTTCCAAGCTGCGCGAGCTTTCTGAGAAGCTGCGCTCCAAGGCCTGTGTGCTTGTGAATGCCGGACGTGCGTCCTAAACGTGCGACAAAATCATCAGATGCAAGATTCAGCGCTTCGGAGTGTCCCAACTGAGTAGTGCGCCCTGTAGGCTGTAGATAAAGGCCCTACTGTATTAGTTCGATCGATCAGTCTTATCGTCGATGAATGTTGTAGGACTGGCCCTCCTCCCAAATAGTTTAATGGCTGACTGGTTACCTGGTTAGATCGATAGCAACAAGAAAGTGCAACATTGCTATCTTGGCTTCACTCGTGACAAATCAGAGTAGTCTAGCTCTTGCAAGAGACCCTGCAGGAACACTAACCATAATTAGTGAGCACAAGTGAGGCAGTGATCATGTTACGCTATGAACTGCTATAGGAAGGGATGCAAACCACACCGAGGAAGAAGAAGAAGGCACATGACACTAATTTCAAGAAGTTCGGCCGCGTGCCGGGTTTAGGAGTCGGTAGGTCGCGGCAGGGGGTCGGTGCTGAGAGGGTTCCGTTTACAGTGCCAATTTTCACGTATAGGACTATAGTGTTCCTATTGCCACATATACATTATCTGCATGACCGCAGCCTGGTCGTCGACCGCCGGGGCTTTGCGCTTCCGAGGTGGCTCGCTCTCCTTGCAGGGGCTGAACCGTTCAGAGCATTTTTGGCCCGGAGGTGTGCTTGTTTGGCGGCCGATCGGGTCGTCGGCGATCCAATGCAAACCAGAGGGAACAACTACGAAAAGACCGGGGCATTCAGGTATTGCTAAAGAGATGAACCGTCATCTCTTCGGTACTGCTACACTACTGTACTCGGAAGCCCACACCGGGAGCAGAAAATGAATCGCTTTTGGCTTGACGATCGATATTCAAAAGGAAAACTGGCAGCGCAGCTCCTCTTCGGACTCGGTCTCTTGGCGCTCTTCGCCCTTGCAGTCAAGCGCATTGCCAAGATCCGGTTGAGGGCCAGCGTTTAGGGTCCAGGAAACCTTAGGGTAATTATGCTGCACTGAGACCCCTAGAACGAGCTCAAGCCACCATGAGGTGCAGATTGCACTTGACAGCTCTTTCCAAAAATCCGCCCAGCTCAGGCCATCGGTCGTCTGCGCAAGGAGCGTGATCCATCGGAGTGATCCTGTTCTCGTCGAGAACCTCGGGTGATCCTCGACACAGGCAGCTGGAACGGCCGCGCTTTTGCGAGATGTCCAGGATGGAGTCGTGGACGGCATGAGTTTCTCCACCGCCAAGTCGCACGCAAGAGGTCTTGGATGAGCACCACAAAACCTTTGCATATCCACTGCTTACCTCAAACCGGGAGGTCCACGCAGCATGCCGGCCCTGGCACTGAAAGCTTTCCCATGCTGGCACAAATTCATGGATACAAGTCCTGAACTCTAAAAGCCTTGCACCATAAGTATCCATAAGATTCCATAAGTCCTGAAAACAGAACCCGAAATCTGCCTCTCGCTCGCTTTCGTGGTCAGACTCTGGCGGGGAGCTTCCAGGACCTTTCCAGCACGCAGAAACTGCAGTTGTCCCTGTTATAAGGGTTCCTTAGTAATGAACCTAGTGACCTAGCGCTCACTGGGGGGATGGAGTCTCTCGGCAGAAGGTCGCACACTTCGAATCCCCCAAGGGCATCCTGGAGGTCCAGGCCTTCCCGCGGGCTTGAGGGCCTCGACGAGCTTTCACCTGGCCCTCGGCACAAACTTCGACTTCTGGGATGTAGTTCGTCTGCACTCGTTTTCGATGCGTCCACCGTCAGATCAGACTAGCTTAACGACAGAAGCACGTGCAGAATGTCGCATCACGTCAACATGTGCCACCGTACTTGTCCAATCCGAATGCCACTCCAAGCTGCGAGATTCCAAGGTCCCGCTCGCTGCCTGCCACGGACAGTCATGCTCCCTGTCGACTGCAGGGCATGAAAGCTACTGGCTGCTGCCGATGAAGCATCAAGCCCAAATGCAAGATCGGCATTGAACAACATGAGGTGGTGGGCTCGCCTCCGCCTCCGACTCACCGCTTTGCTCCTGCCGAACCTCAGCAGACAAAAGCATGGACATCACCCCTGCGGACTTGCGAATCTGCTCTGTTAGCCTTCACAAGCGGGCGCGCCCAAAAAAAGGGAATGACGCTCAGAGCGGATCTGTGAACGCAACAACCGGGGAACTTCCCATGGGACTGCAAATCCACGCACAGTGCAAAAGGCCCCTCGCGTCCTAAAATTCACACACACACACACACCTGCTAGCTACGAGCTCACGAGCAGCCCGCGGATATTGGACAAACCGACTAGTTACCGAAACCAAGATGCATGGAGCCGTGGCACCCCACCCGAAACATCCTAAAACTAAACTCCTGGTGCGGGTCCCGGAACCTCTTCGTAACTGGCCTCCGTGCCGGCATCTGCCACATCCACCTCTGCATCTGTGCCCTCGCTTGAAGGGCGATCGTCCTCCGTTTGCCAGGAGGTGGACTCCTTTGAAGCGCGTCTGTCCTTGGCTTGAGGAGAGGCCCCTAAACATCTAAACCCAGGCAACCCGTTGCCTCGGACCATGCCTCTATTCCCCAATATTGAAGGAAAGGCACCACAGAGACATCAGGTATCTCCTGGGCAGCCTCGGAATCCTGGCAAGCTTCTGCAGCTTGGCGGTTAGGATTTCGGAACGGTGGTTCTAGATTTCGGAGCGTTGCCGGTTGCACCGTGTGCAGAAAGCGTCAGGGCTTTAGCAAGGCGCCCTCCCGAAAGCTGCTGGTGGACTAACACTGCGGGAGTGTTTGGCAATTCGCACCCTAAGCGGACCATTTCAGACCTGCCCCTCCGGCCCCTGAAACCCCCAGCCCTTGGCGTAGCATGGCGTATCAATCATACCCTGCGACCCTGACACCTGAAAGTTTCGGCATCCTGGCATACTTCTGCAAAACAAAAGCGCTTCCATTCTTCTTGCATCGTTCATTCTTAGAACTTAATAGCCCCCCCCTCGCGGGGGGGGGGGTGTGGGGGGGGGTCGGGGAGAAAAAAAAG